ACTTACATTACCATTTTTTAATTGAGTACGTACATATACGTAATTTGTTTTAGGAAATATAACTAAGCTAGAAATGTTTCAATACATTTGTTTGAAAATATTTGATAGAGGTTTTAACAATACACAAAGAAAAGAGAACACAAAGGAACAAAATATCTTCAAGCTATTTCATTTCTTTTTAAAGTGCTGCACGTATACACCACACAGAAATGAGCTTTACAAAACAAAGGAGAAAATATCACTTCAGCATAGTCACAAAGATGAATAAATCCATCAAAAGAGATGAACTGAAAAACGAAAAGCATGAAAAAGATATGGAAATAAAGAGACTTATAAAACAACTTCAAAAACGCCGCACCGTTAAGAAGGAAGAATTTGAAAAAGGAAAACTAGTGGACGTATCTTCCTTAATTCAACATCATAACATGACCTGAAAATAGTTTCAGAGTAAAAAGTTTACATTGCCTTAACAAATGAACATTGCAACAGTTATTACATTTCGTAAAAATATTTTGCCTTGAACCATTACTTGTTAATGCTCAAACGTGAGCCAGTGGCACCACATTAAACAAAATTTAAAGAAACTTATATTTTCTAACTAACAAATTAAAAAATGGCATACGTTGAGAATGTGGTTTAAAAGATATATTTTTTTTTAGAATTTCATCCGAAAACTTTTAAGTAAAAATCAAAAAAAAAATACTTTTTATACAATAAGGACATTTTTGTTTTACTAAAGTGTAGACCTAAGGATTCAAATCAAGCTTCTTACAAATAAATAGAAATGTAGCCTTAAACACACACACAAATATTTTCCGGTTGTTTGTATTTGCTACTTTTATAACATTAATTTTGTATGCATTGAATTTTCGACAATTTTTAGGTCTATATATTTTACAGCATCATTAATAGTAAAATTGACAAAAACGCAAAAGGTATATTTGGCTATCATTGCATGCCTTCGTCAAACTTTGTGTTGTCCATTGTGCTAAATACTAAATCAAACTGTTTGGTTTTGCAAAATGTATGCACATGCCACAACACGTCCCCAATGGACCGGCAAGCATTTACGCAGAGCCGATTACAAACAAGATATATCGATTAAATAGCAAGCTACCATTTAGAGTTTTTGTGTTGAAATTTTGGTGTTGAATTTAATCGATAATCCAAGTGTGTAAAATGTACCTGCCACATTGCCAGCAAGCCAGCTAATTAACCATTTATACAGGAAGGCAGGCAGAAAGACGAGCAAACAGAAAGAAAGACATTCGGACAGACAGACGAACGTACGGACAAAGGGAAAGATGAACGTACTAACGGACAGACAAAATTAAGAGAGACGGACGGACTGACGAAGCGACATATCGACCAACCTACCTTTCCGACGACTGACAGACGGTCTGTTTGTCAGTCTATAGACAGAATGACAGACATACTGAATCAATTGCTTAATATGATTATGTTGTTTAATTTTACTTTTACTATAATTTAAGTATTTTTCATTATTTCATTTTCCTTGCCAGCAGTGGAACATATGTGTTTTTGCATTTGTAAGCGTTTGTATTGATTATCGTTTCGTAACATCTAAAAATTTAAATGTAAAAGTTTTGAAAAATTTTAAGACGGAAAAGGGCCCCTATTTGCCTTGGGCCCCTATGCCTTGCTTACGCTAGCTTTACGGTAGCTACGCCACTGTTTCCACATAATTACAAACTCAATATAAGAGAAAAACATACATTTATTTGTCAAATGTTATTCAGATTTACACTGTCCCTAATTAATTGTAATATTTAAAAGTCGTTTTTGTTATTATTTGGGGAGTGTGTAATACTATTCGGTCGTTTTTTCCACTATAATTCTAAACATTTAAATAATGCTCTTAATTTTAGATCACGCTACCAAACAGTACCCAATGAAATTATTCTAAGAAACATACAGCAAAAACAAGATCCCATTATAAGGAAGATAAAACATCTGAAGAGAGAGCATGAAATGCTTGTCCAAACAGTATTGTTGAAGCGACTGAAAGTTGAAAAAAGATTATTTAAAATGTAAACACATCTTTCTTTTATAAAACAATTATTTTTTCACACAAAAAAGTCATGCATTTAGCCCGATGAATAGAAGAATTAATATTTTAAAACAAGTGATTTGATTTATAATCATGCTTAATTATTTTTAACTGATTGTTTTTGTCTTCTTCTGTTCTAGTCGAAACAAAACAACTAGACGAAATTTATCTACGAATTACACACTGCACAAATTACAAAAAGAAGAAACATATTTGAAGTCTAAAGTACTTCGATACGACCATGATTTACAGAGGAAAAAAAGAGAAATTTAAAATGGCTTTGGAATATGTAGAACTAAAAGAATTGCATCGTAAACTAATGTTAAAATAATATGATATTTTTACCTCTATGTAAATAATAATTTTCGTTGATGGAGCATTGTTTTTTCAAGTTACAAAACAAATAAAATGTTTTGGTAAAAAACTAAGACTTGAAAATAAATGAAAATGTTGTTATTTTTTAATTTATTATTATTTTAACTGATTTCAAGATATGATAATCTACATGTTATAGATATTTAGTCATTATATAGTTATTATAGTTATTTATGTTACTTATATTAATATCAATAACTGCTATTTTTACGGGCATTCAAAACAATACATCAGCGGGTTACGGCTGTAGATCACATGACAGATAACAGGAAATTATAATTAGATATAGGGGTGAAATCCAAATCACGTTTTTTGAATCTGTGATGGGTGCCTGTGTCAGTCTAGAGAAATGGCGTACAACCATAGAACTGTTAACATTAAGCGTAATTTATACCAACGCACTCGAGGAGATGAATTCCATCTTCCGCCCTATCGACCGCCAGGTCAGAAATGGTAACAATACTTTTACTAATTAATACACATGACATATCATCGTATATTTGCTCTAATGTTTCATTAATTTCATATAAACTAATTTGAATTATATAACTGATATCGAATATTGTTTTTTTAAATTTTATATCAACATGCAATGTTTTCGTAGATTTAACTGAAGTCAATTTTACATATGTGTGTGTTTTTCTTAGAGATACTTATTTCAATATGCAATTATATGCCAGTAGATTTCAATACAAATTGTGTCACACACTTTGTGCAACGTTTTAATATTTTCCCTGCTACATGTGAGTCTATGTAGGCCAAATGCCAAACTACATTGGTCTGTATGTGTATTTTCGGTGCGCGGACCTTTGACCACAGGTGCTTTGACCATAACGGGGCTTTGACCATAGGGCCTTTGACCATAGGAAATTAACCACAGGTGTTTTTTCAGCAGAGTTTCTTTGATCACAGGTGATTTGTCAACGGGTGTTTGATCACAAGCGCTGTGTCCGCATTTGACCACAGGTGTTTTGTCCATGTAGGATTTCGATCACAGATATTTGCTTGTTCATACAGTGTCTTTGATCACAGGTATTTTGTGATCAAAAAGGGTCTTTGATCACAGCTGGTTTGTCCAATCCTGGCGTTTGTTAACAAGCGCTTTGTAGGCCAAATGCCAAACTACATTGGTCTGTATGTGTATTTTCGGTGCGCGGACCTTTGACCACAGGTGCTTTGACCATTACGGGGCTTTGACCATAGGGCCTTTGACGATAGGAAATTAACCACAGGTGTTTTTTCAGCAGAGTTTCTTTGATCACAGGTGATTTGTCAACGGGTGTTTGATCACAAGCGCTGTGTCCGCATTTGACCACAGGTGTTTTGTCCATGTAGGATTTCGATCACAGATATTTGCTTGTTCATACAGTGTCTTTGATCACAGGTATTTTGTGATCAAAAAGGGTCTTTGATCACAGGTGGTTTGTCCAATGCTGGCGTTTGTTAACAAGCGCATTGTCCATAAATTGTAAGGATTAATTATAAAAGTTGTGTAATTATATTTAAAATTGCTGTAGGATATAAATATGTTAATTCATCATGTATACTTACAAGTCATCTGACCATACTAGTATTACTTTTTTGACTATGACTATACTGTTTGCATTTTTTAATCCTTTGTTATCTTATATATTTATGTGTTTCCAAGTACATCTACATTATTTATTTGTAAAACTTGTTATATGTAGTATTATTTGTGTTCCATTTATATTTAAAATAAATCTATGAAACCTAGCACCAGCCTTTTTGTGGAGACTAAAATATCTTTCTTGACTTCTTTTTAGTACATGTTAATTTCTATTAATGGACTCTCAGGAAACATGTATAAAATCGTATTAATTGTGTCATAAATTTAATCAAACACCAATAAATAATTTTCATTTTAAAATCTATATATTATGGTTAACCCCCTTTCTGTGGTCAACGCCCCGATGTGGTCAAACCCACTATAGTCAAAGCCCATCTGTGGTCAAAGCCCATCTGTCGACAAAGCCCCTATCCACAAACCCCCTATGGTCAAACCCCTATGGTCAAAGCTCCGCTGTGGTCAAACCGCATATGGCCTAACCCCCTATGGTCAAATCACCTGTGGTCAAAGCACCTAGGACCATATTTTCTTCATTATTTGTCACTTTAGAAAATATTTTATTAACTGATTCCCGAGTTTGGTTTTGTTTTCCCATCTTAGCCTGCTCTTGTATTAAAAGGGTAAGGAAAATTTCTAACTAAATTTAATTTATAGTAATTTGACGTCTATTAAAAAATTACGTGTAAATTGTTATAATTATAAACAAATGTTTTTTGTTATAAATTATCTGCAAATACCACTTAAACAATGAATCCATAATTTATGTATTGATCAAGTTGTTACCCATTGATCCCATGCCAACTGCGATTATGATTCTTTGCATGCTTCGATATGTTGGACTTGTATTTGTGAAATAGTCATTAACACAATCACACAATTTGTAACTTTTTCTTTTCGTTTTTATTTATGTGAATTACATAACAGTTGAAGAATTATTTACAAGTGTCTTTTTCTGTTATTGGTATTTGACAAAGTAATATTAAATAATCAAATTTGTTTTATTATGCTTTTTTGATTTCTAGTGATTTCAGCAGAAAGAGAAGAGTAAGGATTTAATGCAAAACATTTTTACGAAATTTAGAAACAGTTGCAAAATGTATTTGTTAAGGCGAAGTAAACTATTTACTCTGGAACTATTTTCAGATAGTGTGTTGATGTTGAATTAAGGTAGAAACTTCCACTAGTTCTTCTTTATTAAATTCTTCCTTCTTAACTTTTCGACGTTTTTGAAGTTTAGCTATCTTAATTTCCCAATGTTGTTTTTTAAGTCTCTTTATTTCCATATCTATTTCATGCTTTTCCTTTTTCAGTTCATCTCTGTCGATGGAAGTTTTCATCTTTGTGAATTTGCTGAGGCGATGTTTTCTCCTTTGTTTCTTATGGCTTGTTTCTGTGTCTGTATCACTTTGAAAAAGAATAAAATCAATAGCTTAATGAAATTCCGTACTATTTGTTATGTGTATTGTTACAACGTCTAACAAATATTTTCAAATGTTTAAATGCATATGCTGAAACAATTCTAGAATAATTAAATTTTCTAAAGCAAAATTTAAACTGGTTTTATTATTTATATCAATCAATTGTATAGCATAACTTAAAGTAATGGAATGTTAAAAAGTTTAACAGCACGTGTGTATGTTAAAAAATATTTAACTTTCATCTTTACACACCCAACAAGAAATCATTCATTTAGCGGCATAAAATGTATGTTATTTCTCTATACACTATTTGAAAATAAGATAAAAACAAAAAAAATTGTTACTACTAGAAAAAAAAACTTATTATTTGTAATAATGTATATATATATATATATATATATATATATATATATATATATATATATATATATATATATATATATATATATATATATATATATATACTCCACACTCTACATACATATGTTTGCTTCCACCACTTTCAGAGGTTTCCAGTTGTTTCCATGTAGTGTTGAAATCATCTGCATAAGAGTTGTTTATGATTTATAAATGTATTTAATACTTATAAGCTTATGTTACTTATACGTTTATGTACACATACATGTATAAAATAAATAGCAATGTGAGTATTTTACTTTTGTTGTATCAAAATATAACTACGCCATACCTTTGTATAGTTTGTAAGGTTGGGCGATTTCTTCAAATGTTTTATAAGTTATGACTTTTACGATACATTTCAGTAGATTCAACATTTGCTCCGTTTTCGTGAGAACATCTGTTGTCGTTGTATCAAACAGAACAGCTCTGTGTTCACATTGTGTCCACAAGTATTTGAAATCTTCCCCTTGTGACTTACATAAAATTTCAATATCTGAATCTGCCACATCTGTGTCAAACTCTGGGTCATAAGTTACTAACAATATACATTTCCTTTTGATTTCACTAAAATCCGGAAAATCTTTGAGAGCTAAATGCAAGTCTAGTGTCTTTAGCATTGAGAATGATGTAACTAAAATCACTGCATCATGTCTAGATTTTAACAGCTTACATAAATTTTCCAAATTGATAGCAAATCCTATAACGTCAATTTTTAAACAGGAGATGCTGTTGAACGCTTCAACCATGGACTTATTCACAAATTCACTGTCTTCAAACAAAATCAGGTCGTAGTGAAATTTAGTTTTTCCTGTTAAAGTAAAAAAAATGTATGTATACTATATATTTTGCAACATTTATTTGCTATACACAAAACGGTACTTGACAAAGTAAATAATAATGTTTACATTTTCTCAAGTATGAATGTTTTAGTATCAATAATTTACATTGTATAATAATGAATTCACAAGTCATAATATTTTGAGGGTACAAATAGAACGTTTATACTGTACGTTGTAAAATTTGTGGAAAAAAAATAATTGGCTGGGGTGGTGTTCTGATAAATGAGCGTTTGTGTACTAAGCAAAATATTTCCATATTGAAAACGATGTAGCATACACTAAAAATGAAAATAAAACTAATTCTTACCTTTAATTTCATTTAATGTTGTTACAATATTATACACGGAATTAAACTGTTTATTCTTGCGGTCTTTGAATGATGAAATAAACGTGAGTACTTCAATGTCTGTTCTTTGAAAGAAAGGGTGGTTTAACCATTCTTTAATTAAAAGGTCCTTGTGTTGTGAAAGAAAAGCCTTAAACATCTTAACAAATATAAGTTTAAAATTGTTCTGTGTTAGTTCAAGCTGTCCAGTTTTCTTGAGATTTTCCACGTGTTTAAGTAATTCGGAGTTTTGTGTTGTTTTAGTGTCCACTGAATTTGTTGTATTGTTGAACAGAACTACACGATTAGAAAAGCAGTCAAATTCTTGTACAGTTTTTATCCTGTTATAATAAAAGTCTAAAAAAGAAGAACTGCCATGGTCAAGTTCAAAACTATCACCTCCCGTAACAACTAGTATCCCATAATTTTCATACAGTGTTCTATATTCCGGACACAATATGTGTTTAGTTTTGTCTTTTAAATGGACAGAATTTATCGTAAAGTAATCAATAACAACTACAACTGCACTTAATGAGCGATCCATTGAGCCTAGTCCATGCAAAATAACGCTGTATATTTCTTGTTCTGAATACTCCAAAACACAAATTGTTTTATTTAAATTGTGATTAATTTGTATTCCTAATTTGTTTGTTATTAAATCGCCGCAATTTCCTGTTTTAAACACATTTTGTTCTAAAAGTGAATTTCCTGTGGCACTTTTTCCACTAAAAGGCAATCCAAACAGTAAGAGGTTGATTATTTTATCGGTACCTGAAACAAAAAGATTTAAATATATGCTGGCGTTTAGTTTTTTTCTAGTTTTATAGTAAAAAATAAGTATATTTAAATATTAGTTATCAATGTACTGTATCATCAATGTGTGTATTGCACATTTTTTTATTCTTTTTCAGTGTCCAAAAGCTAAACTATAAATAGTTATAAATATAAAATAAATAGCGTTGAACGCAGCGTAGGATTTTTAAATTATGAAGAGCTAAAACGGTAGAAATAAGGTCGCATATATGAACTACACAAATATTTTTAAAATTTAAAAAAAAATTGAAATGTCAAATAATTCAGCCAGAAAGTGTATTCAAACAAAAATTAAAACCAATTTATGTTAAACTTTTTCAAATACAATTTAAAATTTTTTTGCAAGGAACTGTAAAAAATAGTTTTACAATTTTGATGGATTGCATATTATTAATGTTTTTGGTGTTTGCCCATAGAAGAACAATAACAATTATTTTATTGGATTTTATTTTCAATGTCTTCTATTCTAATTAATATAGCATCGCGAAAACGACAATAAACGTTGATATTTTTTTTAAAAAGATTGATCCAATGTGTTGTTATATGGGAATTATGGCAGTCTCAAAGTGGTAATTGTAATATAGAGGTTTGTGGACATTGTTCTATAATTATTTCTTTGGTGGTATATGAAACATGCATTGTTTTAAAACACTATAATGTGTGTTTAGTCTAACGAATATCGTTAGTAGATAATTGTGGACTAAGATTATATAAGTGCTGATAAGCAATACAAAACATAATAAGTTAAAAATAAAATAAAAATACTTTGTAATTTTAAGTTACTAATTATTAATAAATATTATTGACGAGAAACTTACCTGCATAAGTATTATCCAAACTTGAACTTGGTAAATACTGCAGCTTTTCAAAATATGCAATCTTAGTTTCAACTTTAGTTTCGTTTAGTTCATTTTCATCATATTCGTTTTCAATAATTTCTTTTTTTACTGTTATTTGATCTTCTTCAGAACCTAATTCAGCAGTGATTTCACTGTAAGTTTGTTTAAAGCAAGAAATATATTGTTTTGTATGTTCCTGGAGATAGTTAAGTTCACTTTTTAATTCGTCTATATTTTCTGCATTCTTTTGATGAGCTGTACAACCATTTTTTATGTCACTTTGTATTTCCTTTAAAGTTTTTTGTGTTTCTGGTGAGTTGAATTCATGATCCTTTTCAGCGAATTGAACTAAATTTTCATGAAACTGCTTCTCTAGCTCATTTGTTTCCTTCTTCATTTCTGTTGGCAGTTCATGATCTAGTAAAGTAATGCACCACTTTAAAACAAAGGCATTTTTAAAAAGGAATTGTTGGATAGCGTCTCTGCTGATTTGTGCTATTTCTGTATTAATGTTTTTAAATGAATGTTTTTCATACGTTACTAAAACAGTACCGAGAGATGTTTCTATGTCAGTCATTTCGTTAATTACAGAAACTTCGCACTTAACTGTGACCGGCCAACTCAGTAAATCTTCCTTAGTTGGATATAGTACTACGTGAAGTGAAAATACATTTTCATTTATAGTTTCAACATATCCGTGAAATCTGTAAGCTTGTAATCCTTTAATTGAATGTAAAGGCGTTTGAATTCTGTCTTTGATCTCACTGAGATCCAATAGTTGCAGCTTTTGAAATATAACAATTTGATTTCTATGGCTGTGCTTTGGTTGATTTGACTTACTCATTCTTATACAGTTGGATATTCAATTTAATCTGAAAATATATAATTAAAAAAAAAATTCTTATATTTCTGAAATGAGTATATGTAGCCTACTATGCGTTTCTAAAATAAAGATTCTAGGGTTAGTATGCATTTGCCGAAACGCTTGTCGATTGTTTCCTATTTTGTTTAATGTATACGGCTGTTGGTAGTGTGTCAGTCCTTCCGTCCGTCATTTCATCATTCCCTCATCGTTTTAGATTCTAAAACCTTAAAAGTCAACAACAAAAAATGCCGTGCTTTTGAATTTTATCGTAATGTCTTATTATAAGTAATGGATTAGTGCCAATTTATGTAAGGACTTAAATTGATTGAACATTGGCAACGTTTTTAATATTTTTCATAATCAATAAAAGAACGTGAAGAAAATATTAAATACACGCACATTGCTAAAACATAATAAACAAATATCAAAACTTATATTAGCTTTTTAGTTTTAGAAAAAAAACGAATTAATTCTTCTACTTCTTCGTTCTTAATTTTAGTGTTGGAAGGGATCCTCTCTAACACAACTCCGATTTCAGCTTTTGTTTTTCTTTTTGGATTTGCTTCCATAGCCTTTGTCCAACCAAGAACAAGCTACAAGGCAGCAGTTGTTTAATTTTGGTGTTGTTTCTCCTAGAAGAGTGGCTGTCCTCAGCTAACGAGCATCTGCACGAGGGTTTGAACCCGAGACGTTTCAGTTCAGCTACCATGAGCTTCACTGAATCGGCCAAGCTGACCCCTAATTAATTACATTTTTTTTTATAATTATTAAGCCAGGGGAGATAATTTATAAAGAAATTCAACTCTCGCTAGATATTACTATTATATTTTGTTTCAAAATTTAATGCGAATTGCCCAAATTTCCGTGAAAGCATTCTTGTTAGAATACACGGCCATTTGTTTGAAAAAGCTATTTCATGTGTGTTTTCTTGTTGCGTTTATGTTACCGTGAGCGTTTCAGTTTGTATTTTAGTTTGTGGTTTTTTTAGCTATTGCGTTTGTATTTATGTTTGTTTTTGTGTTAAGAAATTGAGATATAATTTACAAAATTTTAGGATCCAGTAGCTAGGAAAACTAACAAGTCGGTACTATAACACAAACACACACACACATATATATAAATATACATACATATATATATATATATATATACATATATATATATATATATATATATATATATATATATATATATATATATACATTTATACATGTATATACATACTACACAGCTCAAATGGACATTCATATAGGAATCATGTATTCCACTTTAGATTTTAATTTTGTATGAAAATATACATTGTTATCTAGAAAATTTAATATTTATCAATTTTAAAGTAATTTTGTATTTACCAACTCCACATATCAAGATAAAGTGCATAGAAAATAAATCTCGCTTTTGTTTTTGTGACAAACGTTTTTATCATATTCACAAATCTCACAAACAGATTTTTAAAAACGCACTATAAAATAAAATAAACCGGGAGTGATCTCCCCTAAACTTTCTCGAATGTTCTTATATAAAATAATAGGGGATGGGAACTCGGGCTATAGACATCATTTTTAATCCATTTTAAATACTTAAAGTTTTAAAAATGGAATAAAATCTCGTAGACAAATTAATTGCACACCAAGTGAACGCCAAATAAAAAAGTGCATAATAGTGCGCAATATTATTAGTACTTTAAAAAAAAATTACATTTGTTTTTTGAGAAATCGGAAGTAGCGTAAATAACTACTTCCGGTCACCGGAAATTACTCAAAATTTAACAAAAGGTAGAGAATTAGATCTTTTACTTACATGTGAAATGTCATTTATCTATCTGAAATAGTACTCAAGTTATAGGCTTTTGAAAAATTCAAAGTAGGCAAAGTAACAGTTCCGGTTATCGGAAATCGCTCAAATGTTGATACGGATCTATGATCTGGATAAAATACTTATATATGAAATTTCATCAACCTAGCTGTAACGTTACTCAAGTTATCGTGTTTACACACGGACACACACACACAGACAGACAGACGGACACAGACATACGGACAAGATTGCAAAATTATGTTTTTCCGTATCAGTGAGGCGTAAAACGTCGAGATTTGTAAAAATCTCGATTTTTTTTTTGCACGATTACAAGACTTTCTCTATACTTCGTATATACGAGAAAGTAAAAAATGATTTGTGGTAGCCTTACTATAGTTATTTGCTTGTATGGCAAAATATGAAACAAAACAATCTGGGCGCTCATTTATTTAAAATTCCTTTTCATAGGGAGTTTAAGGATAGGTTTACGTTGTGTAACATTATATAAGACGTATCTTTAATTACTAATGAGTGCCCGAAAAAATAAGTAGATCTATATTGCTTTTAGTAAACTCAACATTAATATGTATGCGCCAATCACTTCTATCTTTCAACAAGGTAACCAATTTTAGGGAAGGAACAATGAAAAATGGACACATCTTCACAATCAAAAAATACATGTCACCTATGAGGATTTTATACTGGTGTAAAATAAAATCAACACTTAATGGGCTAAAGTGTGGTTTGGTATCTAGTTATCGTTATATTTTAAGATTTAAAACACATTATAACATTTAATTAATAAACATTCAATGATTACTTACATTTTCAAAGCATTAGTCATAATACTCTTACAATTGTAGCAAACATTCGTCTAGAGTAAACATACACGTCACTACCGTGATAAAAGGTATAAGACTTTTGGCCTATATTTTATAAAAAAAAATGGCCGACATTAGCACGCTCAGTCATGAGGGCTTACGGTTTTAAATGTAGGTCACCGCGTCTGCTATAAACAGTACCTGATATGTTGTCGAATAGGGGTTCTCTAACTGGAGTATCAGAACACTTTTATTCAGGCATAAAGTTCTACATTTTGACTGAGGTATTTCTAAAAATCATATAGACCTATAGGTCACTGTGTGAATCACGTTTTGTTAAAGGATCGAAAAATGAAATTTACAATGAAATTTACTTGAAAATAACTTCGTTGAAAACACTAGTCAGAAAGAGCATATCATTAAGGCTCTGCTTTAACAGTAGTTTTATAATGCAACTTAAATCAAACTAAAACATTACGTATTTAAATTTTAAAAATGAATTACTTTTGGAAAACAATTTTTTTCTAATATATCTACACTACATATCCGACGAAGCTTTTTGAATCTTAGACAAAAGAATATTTCGACAGTTCCATAGTAATGTTAGCCTATCTAACGTTGCCCCAATGAGGCAGATAAAAAAGAGTTCACTAGTTTCAATCTGAACTTGCTGTCTCGTATGATTTATTCAAAGAAGCAAATCATTACACACGTCCAACGGCAACAAATGGCCTTACCAAAACGTGATGTTGCAAAAATAGGCACATGTTTTTAAAACAGTTAGTACAGATTAATTTCTTCCGTGGATAATTTCGAAGTAACCAGACCCCGCTCCGTAGTTTTGGCTGAAACATGCTACTTCTAGTCGCCCAATGTCTGTGGATAACCCAGACGTGCACAAAATGCACTCACGTCATCACTACGTATACATTTTTAACGACACTGTAATAAAGATTGATGTATAAATTAAAATTTATTTAACAAGATTAGTGTAAGTTTACTAAAAAAAGCTTTCATAATAGTAATAAATTATTAATATATTATATTAACTAAATCCGTTTATTACAACGAAATGAATATAATCGATACTGTAGCCTAGAGCAAGTATGTTAGGTGTGCTAAATTTTGATAGAAGTGGTTTTCTTTACGTGCCATTTATTTTAATCTGTATTTAATTAAGAATAGCGCAAGTCTTTTGGTGTGTTTTGTTTTTTTAAGTAGTGGTTTACTCTACTGTTCCAATTGTTTGAATCTGTATTTAATTAAGAATAGCGCAATTTGCTCGTTTATGACGTAAGTCCTGATGTATAGTATTTATTTATGTTTTATTGCTAACAGTGCTGTATTCATAAGATTATTTAATACTTATCTGTCTATATCACATTATGTAGATTAAAAACCATTACATATGAACATTGTAGATTACGTAGTTCATAGTAGTATTTGCTATTTTTAAAAATGTTCATCATGCTTAAAGAACACAGCACCAGGCTGCTGGCCGTCAGTAACGTGTGTCACACTTAAGTGCCCGTTGATTTGTCTTTGTAAGGCCGAAGACGTTTTGTGTTAGATTAGTAACAGGGTTAGGCGGTGAGGTAGGTCCATTTGAACATACCGATGGATCCTCCTAAATTTGTTCTTTGCACAGTTAAATTACTGATATTAGTTACTGTGTAGCTTCCAATACTTTTTGTAACAAAAATGTGTATGTTATTAATTCACAAAGTGTGTAGGAAGCATTATCATGTACAAAATCTAAATCGAGATTTTGATA